CCGCCTAGGTCACGTGGAACCAAATAACAGCGTCCACGTGCAACCAAAATGCATTCGAAACCTTAACCGTTCCCGCCAACAGTTTGAGCGTCGCGCCAACACTCGCGCGCCCAACAAGCCGCATCGGCAACCCGCATAGCTTAGAGTTAATCCTGCCCAACATAGTGCAAAGGCGCCGTACCGCCTTGCTACCTTGCCCGCACGTCTTTGCTTGGCCATGCACAACCTGCAAAGACTTGACTGATCCCATATTCAGTCTACATTGACCCGGCCCTGCAACCCAGCATCCTCGCTAAGCTAGCCCGAAGCCTTTACCATGTCAATGTACTTGTTCCCTTATCCGACACCGTGCACAAGTGCCCGGTTTCTTGACCCTTGGCGCATATAAGGGACTGCGCCCGGGTCCAGCTCAAGCTTAAGTCCGTAACAAACTTCCCCCGCCTGAGCTCGTCGACGCCCTCGTCGACTGGGGGTTCACCATCCTTCTTGTCTCGTACTCAGCAATCTTATCAGTAAACTGCCATAGTTTAGTGTTCCGAATCCAAGTAGCGTCCGCCTCGGACTCACCCTTCCACTGGACAAGATAGTCTGTCCGCCAGTTCTTCTTACTCTTGCCAAGGGTCCTATGATCCAGAATTTTATCCATCTCTTTCGTGAAATGGTCCCGCACAGTAGGAGGAGCTCGAGTAGAGACATTTCGGCTTGCCTCAATCAAATCAGGATGATACTTCTTCAAATAAGATACATGAAATGTGGGATGTACCTTCAACCGGTCAGGCAGCTTAAGTCGATAGGCCACATTCCCAACTTTGCTCACGATTTCAAAGGGACCCTCATACTTTGGAATCAGTCCACGATGGACTGCCTTTGCCGAAATCCGTTTCCATACCTTTGGGCTCACTTTTAACAACACTAGATCCCCAACAGCGAATTGCACATCCCGTCGCCCGTGGTCTGCATACTTCTTCATCCTTCGCTGTGCCTTAGAAAGGCTATCTCGGGCCTCTATCAAGAGTTCGTGCTGCGCCCGAGCATACCGATAGGCTGCGGGACATTTCCCACCAGTACGCTGTACCGCTACATCATGCGGTAGCTGAGGTTGCTGTCCATAAACCAGTTCAAAAGGACTCATACCGGTCGCCGAGGACTTGTGCAAATTATAACAAAACTGGGCCATATCCAACAATTCCACCCAATTATCCTGGCTTGCGGTCACATAGTGTCTTAGATATTCTTCAAGCAACTGATTCATCCGTTCAGTTTGGCCATCAGTTTGAGGATGATAGGCCGTGGAAAACTTCAGTTCGGTCCCCATCAAATTGAACATGGTCGTCCAGAATCGTTTCGTGAAGCGCGGGTCACGATCACTCACTATGTCATCGGGCATACCGAAATATTTCACCACATGCTTGAAAACTAACTCAGCAGCAAGGTCTGCCGAGCATGCACCTGGAGCAGCAATAAATATACCATACTTTGAAAATCGATCAACAATGACCAACACCGAGGCCATACCTTTCACCTTTGGAAACCCGCCAATGAAATCCAAAGATAGTGACTGAAAAGGCTTGTCCGGAATAGGCAAGGGTTGCAACAGGCCCGCCTCTTTCTTATTTTCGGTTTTGTCTTGCTGGCAAACAAGGCACGTCCGGACATAGGACTCAACGTCATCAAGCAT